AGTTGAGGGCGGTGGGTATTTTCCAACTACAGAACGCAAGAATGACCCTGCTCGAACCCTGACCAAGGTCAGGGACTAAAGATGCTTTTCCTACGCCACTGCAGCCAATGCTGCAAGAGCTATTTTTAATTTTTAATTAATTTAAAAATAAAATAAAAAAAAATTAATTTGATGCCTTTTTAATTTTATATAGTAAATAAATGACATTTGAAATTTTTTTTCTAACTGAAATAAAAGTATTTAATAAGAGTTATATATAAAAGTATTTTTAATTATTACAATATTTATCTATCATATAGAGAAAATGAGATTAGTATTTGTTTTACTTTTTAAAATTGAAGAAAAAAATTATTTTAAAATTATATCGTTTTAATAAAACATTACAAGAAAAGATAAAAAATACTTTACTCATGTTTTAAAAATAAGATATTTTAATTTTTTTAATAAATATTTATTAAAATAATATAATTTTAAAATAATATTTCTCTTAATTTTAAAAATTAAAAGATAAAACAGATAAGTATTATTATCATATCTTAAATATATTCTTTAAAAAATTTTAAAAATATAACTTATAAAATATTTTTTTATATAAAATCATTTCATCAAATATTATGTAAAGATTAAATTAGAACAATTAAATGAAACAAAGAGGAGTACGAGTTAATCGCACGTGTAAGAATATTGTTGATTAGTTGAAAAAGTTACGCTGTTAACCCGTTTTTCAAAATTTCCGCGATTTTCTAGCCCTCCGCCAACATCCCTCCTCTTCCTCATTAAAACCATTAGCAGGCAGATCCTCCTTGCCATCTCTTCACATTTCACCTCACTCTCTCAGCTTTGCTTCGTCTTGCATCTCATGTATTCCTACCCTTAGATTATTCTTGGTTCCGGTTATTTTCATTCCATGGCGACATCGGCTTTCAAGTCAACCGCAAAGAGAACACCAATAGTGAAATCGACCGGGGAGAACTCGTCGTCCTCCAACCGGACGTCCCCCCACCGGCGTGGTAGGAGTCTCAGCCGGTTCTCGCGCCGGCTTCCTCAAGCGGATTACGACGACGTGGAGTCCACACTGGCGCCGCCTACCAGAGGGAGATTTGTCAATAAGCTGAGGGGATCCGGGTTCCTGGAGACCAGCCTCGATGATCTTGCCACCAAACTGTTTGACTCTTCCTTGAGAGGCCGCTCAAATTTAAGGCATGCTGAAGTCAGCCTCAGAATTGGAGGAGGAGATGGTGTAACACTTAGAAGGGGGAGGTCAGTGTCAAGGCACAAATACTGGAGCACAGCTGCCAATAGTGGTGCTGCGGGCAGGGTGTTTCGGAAAGTGCTGATTCCAGGAGGAGAAGATCGGTGTCTGTGGCGCAGTATCAGCTTAGCGGTTCGGAGGTGATTATTTTATTGCTTTTTATCACTTTTAAGATAAAAAGTAATAATTATTAATCAATAATTACTTCTTATGGCACAGGATAGATAAATCCTTTATTAAATTATTTTGGTTTAATTGTTCGATATTGTTTCATGCTATATGTTTCTTATTGGTTGATAATGTGATTTAGTTAAATAACTAATACTGCATAGAAATAGTTAGTTAAAATTTGGATCTCTTACACTGCTAATTATTGTATAATTTTGGATTTTGTTGGAAGTTTTTGAACTTGAATTGATGAATATCTGCTTGCTTGTTAAACAGTCGGTTTTGCTTCCCTTGAAATTAATTTATGTGAAAAAACCAACTACAATTTCATTAACTCTGGTATGCATAACGTAATGTGGCTTAGAAACAATATACAAGATACCCTTTCATTTAATTTTGGTTGGTGTTTATGATTTGTATTATTTGGTTACATATGCAAGTATTTCAAGAAGAACATTGTAGGGGCAAAAGGTGAGAGACCTGTGGCTTCTCTGTCATTTTCATAATCTTTACAGCATTTCAGTTGTTAGAGTTTACTTTTAACATCTCTAAAAGTCAGCTTGTCAGTTGCATGTTCTAAGTGAATATGCATGGTTAGATGATATTGACCATATTTGATGAGATTAAGTGAGTGAAATTTTTGTTTCTAATTCTTTATCTGGTAACCATATCTGAGGCTTTATGCCCATATTTTTCTTAAGTGGAAACTACATTTGGGTTTCCATGTGAAGCATCAACCTATAATAAATGTCATTACTTTTTTGAGGATTGTGATTGCTTAAGCGATGTCATCACTATGAGCTACTATCTTCAAATGGAGGACATTTTGGACCTTTTTGTTGTCTTATTCAATATTATGCTTTGTGATCAGTCCATTATCTTGTTTTATATGATTAGATCAAACAAACTCCTAAGTTGATGCTCATAAAAATAAAATCTCTTATCATATGATTGTATTGTAGATTGTTTATGGTTTCTAATTAGTAAACTGGATTTATTTAAGCTCTGTGACATTCATTCTCCTTTTCCTGAACATGGCAGAGTGATCTAGATCATTCACATAATTCTAGCAAACCTGGCAATATTAAGAGTTCCATGGGTGGAAACGGTCAGATATCCTCAATGCATAAGCCAACAGCTCCAAATCACAAGCCTGGACTAAGAAAGTCTCTTAGCCAGAAGGACTTGAAGTGCCATGATGGCTATTCTGTAAGCATTATATATTTGTATTGCCTTTTGTTTATATGAGAAATGCTAGTGATACTCTCTTTTGCACACTCTTTTCAACACTTTCTATGTGATTAATTCACGTGGCAAGTATTTCTCTGTTATTGTTCTATGTGTTAGATGATTTTATATTTGAATAACTTAACTTGCCACATGGACTAATGATAGAGAAATACTTGCCATGTAGATCAATCACAAAACAATTGTTGAAAGGAGAGAACAAAAGAGTGTCACTACCACTCTTCTTTGTTTATTTATTTATTTTTTGTGTTTGTGTGAATGTGTGTGATGGTGATGGTGGTGGTGGTGGAGTTGGGGTGGTGGGGAAGGAGAGAGATCAGTTGGGTTGACCTTTACCGTTACTATTTTTTAACATTCTTAAAAAATATCTTTACTTAAATCATATATGAAGACTTATAAATTTTAAAATGTCTATGAAATCAAAGCCAGTCTTTCTTCCTTAACTGATGATGAGGAGAAGGATGCTTTTTGCTGTAAAAATGGAATTGAGAAGACCATGCAGGCAGTTTATGCACAGTAAAAGGTTGGATGTTTTTTATATAGAAGAACACAACTAAATAGATCTGTGTCAGTAGTAGTTTTTATGCATCTGTTGCTTATTTTTGTCTTGCCCCTAGGCAGAACATCCAACCGGGGATGTGGACACTGATTTGTACAGAGCATTGCAAGATCTTAGATATGCTGTGGAAAAGATCAAGACAAAACTTGAACAGGTTTTTTTTTTTTTTTTTTGGACCTTACGATCTGCATGTTATTTATGAATATTTTGCATTTTGTATACACAAGCAAAAGTTTCTGCATCCTCAGACTTGTTTTCTGAACCTTTTAGAGTTCCAACTTATGCAGAAAGCAAACTACTCTTGGCTAAGTAATGACCTTTTGAAGTCTCAGAATTCTGATGTTCTTTGGGCTGTTTCCTCACTTTAAAGAAATTATGCAGCAAAATTGGAAAAGGTACTTAAAGTGATATTTATCTTAACTTACCAATACTAAATGCAGAACACCATACTGTGTTCTTGATGTTTTGAGTATTTCACACTTTTGGAAGCACATGAATTAACAAATAAAATAGTATAGTGTTTTGCTTGTTGACTTTTGTCAGCCAGAAATTGTCTTTTAGGATGTTACCAGTGAGAACTTTGCCTGGTTGTTACTTCCTAACTTTTTAAGGCCTCCTTTTATGGTCCATTCAAGATTATATGGGTTTAAATTTCGAACCTTTGCAATTAATCCCATATACCAACATATATAGTATTTTAAGATGTTGCTTGTTGCATATTGTACGGATATAATCACAATTGTGTAGAATATTTTGTTTTGTTAAAAATTGTCTCATTCACGTTGAGATCAATTACTTCCAGCTTGTAGTCTAGGTTCTATCACCACAAATTTGTGTGCTTTGCAGAGTCACTGAAATTGCTTCTTAAAATAGCATGGCTCTATTGCATTTTAGTTTATAACTAGTGATGGGTTTCATAACATATGGAGGTTATCCAAGATTCAATTTTTTTTCCTTGATTGAATTTTTTTTAAAGATTTTTTTTATTCTTCTACAAAATTTGATTGTGAGATCTTATTTTTCTTGACCCAATAGTCAGAGAAATGTAAACAAGATTTATCAGCCGAAATTCTGTTGGAGGAGCAGCATGGCAAGGAGCTTATCAAGATTTTCAAAGGACTGATTCCTAATACAAAGAACTCTGCTGTTGAAAAAGAAAAACCAACTCAAATGAGAGAGGTATGATTCCCTCTGTCATTATCTGCAAGAGTGCAGGAGTTCTGTTTTTCTTATTCTTAGGTCCTTGGAGTCTGTTTGTTTATAACATAATATTGTGATGAATCTTTGCTCTGACTGTGAGAATGGTGATTGATTTTTGTGTTGACTGCATAAACAATATGTACCAAATTTTTTCCAGAGAAGTAATGACGGACAGAGGATGTCCAAGAGGTTGATTGAGGAGGCAGAGAAATATATTGAGGACCTCATTTCAAATGTTGAAGATACTGATATTTCCTCCTTAGATGGAGAAAGGAGTGACACCAGTTCAAGTTTAGGAGGAATTACAGACACCAACTTTCCTGGGTACACCAGTTAGGC